TAATAATTCAACAGGGATGGGGGATGACTGAGTGAGTTTCTTGGTCTTTGGTACTTTGTGTTTTTTTTCCCTCTCTCTCTCTCTCTCTCTGTGGCGCCCGCGGAGGTGGAGGCTCTTTTGAAAAAAAAAGGATTAGAACGATCCAAAAGAAACTTACCTGACAACTCCGATCACCGATCTGACATGAGTGCTGATTTTCTTAAACCACACCCTCACACCTATATGGTTCGATCGGGCCAATACACCGCGATCGCGCATTTTTTGGACAAGGTCTCCGCGTTCAAGCGGAATACCGGTGGAGTGGTATTCCTTGTCATTCTGAAAAAAATGAAAAAAAAATAAAAAAAAAAAAAACCTACCCTTCGGACAAGATCACAAATGGTACGAGCCCAGGAGCTGAAGAATGTCCACCGTACGTTCTAGACGTGTGTGTTTAAAGTGGTGCATCCAGTAAACAGGTACGGAGTAGAATATTCACCTTTCTTATTTCTTTCTTTTGTGTGCTGATTTGCAAGCCCAAGACACCGGGCCTGTCAGGGCGATCACTTGATCCACCAAGATCTAGACAATGCTGATTGGACATCAGATGAACCCCAAGGGAAAGTCGATGACTAGTTCGTATTGCCCCGAGTCGGGGCATCGGGTTGATTCGATGCGTGAAAGGACTTAGCGGGACCCCGCTGAATGGGACGTAGTTCCGCATATACGGAGTACAGTCATCGACAGTATATGGGTATTTTCTCCGCATGGCGTTGGTGGTTCACATCGTAAGATTTCGGATTTGGGGTCAACATGTCAACTAAAAAGGGCGACAAATGAAAAACGAACTGTCAATCGGTGGTAAAAGGTAAGCTGAGTGGGGGCAAGGCTGGCTGGCCTTGTTATCCACCGTGGTTTTGAAGATCCGTTGTTACGATGAGGCAAAGACATCTGGTTCGATTCGGGATGTCTTGTGCTTGGCTTTTCGATCTATCCAGTCTGATTTGCCACTTGAAATCTCCCGGTTGACAGACTTGATGTTTTTTCTTCTCTCCTTGGTACGGCAGAAGCCCTATCCTGCAGATGTATTCCCGTCATATTTTTATAGGCAGGACCGCATGTGCCCCCCAGCATGGATCACCTTCGATCATCACCCCCACTGGTAGCCTGTTTTGGATCGACTTCGCTCTAATATAGGAGCTCCAGCTTTTAAATATGGACCCAAACCCCCCCCCCCCCCCCCCCCGCCTTCCTACACACCGTCCCACTAGTTCCTACCAGTCGCCTTCTCGTCTCCTCCCCGCCAAGTCCGCCCCTATAGTCTCGATACAACACTCGTATCTTTGACTCGCTTAAAATCCTTCCAACACCAGGCCACCGAGATTAACTTCTCCACTCACGCAGTCTTAAGTTGAGCTGTTCCCTCCATTCCGCAGGGGAGATCGGTTCAACTTCTCTTTCGCGAGTGGTGGACGCTACCAACCACACCAACCCCCGTCATGAACACCGGGGAACCAAGATACGACTATCTGTCTTGTGAGCTCCTACAGCCAACTGCAGGGTTCTTTTTGCAGGTGACCAGCTTGGCCAGCCTTTCCCTTCTCGGCCTCATCTTCGTCCGCGGGTATATCAAACATCGTCGTTGGAGACAAACACACATCATCCCTTCATCGGAATTCAAACAACAAAAGCAAGATCTTTGGCTTCAGTCGATCATGGAAAAACGAACCATCATCTCACCGGCCTCGCACTCTCCATCTGCATGCGAGATCCTCCAACCATTGTCCCATTCATGCCTCCTCCCAAGCAGCGGAGCTCTCGCTGCACAAGCTAGAGAGCAGCAAAGTAAGAGATTGGCATCGACGGCGAGTAATCCGACATCTTTAGAGGCTTCTTCGCCTGATGCGAGCGAGGTGCAAAAATGCAACGAATCCATCCAGCAAATGTCTGATGAGCATGCTGACGGAGTGCGGACTTGGAAGCGGGTTGTTGTTGAATATCGATAGTTGGCCACCTGTTTTACCGGATTTTTCACTCTCCCTGGGGATCGTTATTAGGCGTCTTCTGTTTCAATCTCGGCCTGGGGTTCTATACTACCGTTCTCTTTTTTTCGTTCTGTCTTTTTCTCGCTTGTTGTCTGCCTCCCTTTATCATTCCCGCTGCCCATGTGTGTCTTTCCCTTTTGCACGAATTACGTTTTTCCTGAGATAAGCGCGGGCTGGGATTGTCTGCGTATTTGGGTGGTAGAGATGGTTGTTGTCTCAAGTCCAAGGCCCGCCAGAAAAGTGGATCTTGTGCGTGCGACACATCTTGGAAGATCAAAGATCGGCAAAAAATCTATCCGGTCGGAAGAACCTGGTCGAAACTGTCAACTTTGGGGTTTAAAATTGAATGTTCCATGATCTACCGTCTCGATATGACAAGTAAACGCTAGAGCTACATCGTCAATGGCACTGTTGTGTCGAGTGGGGTCTCCTGCAAGCGCGACACTTCTGCAGAAAACCCCAGTCAAGGCCGACAAGTAAGCTCTGGTCCCGGTGGAGAAACCTGCATGGCCTTGGTGACTTCCCACTAAATTCATTCCCCTGGCACAAGATCCAGCTGGAGTCTTGGCCTTGATGGAACGGACTCAAATGTTGACGATGCGCTAGATAGAACACCATGAGAAAGCTCACATGAACTCTTCTGTGCAGTATGACTTGGTCTTGGGATCAGATGAAACAGTGCGTTGTTGAAGTGGGCTGCTTGGTAAAATCATTCTTCTATGCTTCTTCCTTGGTGCATGCCGTCTCGTGCGATGCGATCCGTGACAGAGCTAAACTGTGTTAGCGACAGAGATCTTCTATCATCTGCCCCCAGTGTGTTTGACTTGAGTAGTCACTTGCTGCAGGTGCGCGAAACTGACCACTGCGTGTACATTGCGCAATACCAACGGAGGCATCGTCCCTATGACTTGGTACTTGCCTGTGGCGCTTTCGAGATGCATAGGGCACGGAGTAGATTATAGGATCATTCCGGTGATTAGCCCTCATGCGGACGAATCGACGCCAGGGGACTTTGTCATCCTACAGCCGCATCTGTTTGGCGACAACAGCACGTAGTGAGCCTGGTGGGTTAAAGGGTCTATATCTGTTGATGAGGTCTGTGTGACTCGTGATTGCTACGGGAGGCCAGATGAGTTGGATATAGATTGATCAGATTGATCATGCTAGGATCTCGTTTAGCTATAGACAACCTGTCTTTCTGTATCTCAAGTTATAGAAACAAGGTCGCTATGTGGATTCAAGCCGATCCACAATTCCGGGATGTCGATAATGCCAAGTCATCTCGAAAACGTCTGGGTTTCAGGATCCATACCCTATGCCATGTGCTTCCATACGTCGTTGCATCAACCTCCGCCCACACATGTGACAATTCATCATCCAACGGCACTCCCACGATGTGTCTCATCCGTCCGGCTTTCTCAGCCGCAGGAAATCCTTTGGTTCGAACCATGTCGTCCCTTGCGCCTAGGAATCTTCTTCCGGGGTACCTATTAAAACCATCACGTTCTCAGCCTCCTCGAGGGATGTAAGAAGCAGATCTCTAATGTCTTCAAAGCTGAGGCTTCTCCACATGAAACCCCGTATAACATCCCCAGGTCAGGCATGTTGAACATGTGGAGTAGCTACCACCCTTTGATGAACGTGCCTTGGCCGATGGCAAAGGTACCTCGACTGGAAACATTCGGAGTCCTGATGAGGTCGATATCCATGACCTTGGGCTGCCGTAATTGCGGTCAAAACTCTCGAAGAAACCAATTTAAAACGACAAGCGATCTTACCTTTTAAACGAGGAAACAAATCGATAGAGATACCAGACCAGGTTAAAGGCCCCCTGCTTCATCGGTACTGGGATTAAGGGAGCTGTGATCATTTGAAAACATCATGGGCGCATCCTTCAACGTAGACCGACCTGTGTGAATAGAGTAGGATATTTTCGATGTAGTTAACCCTCAACCCGATCCACTTCCATCCCCACCTGCCCGCGAACCTCCAGCCCTGGGCGCAGGGGTGTGGCGCTCAGGGTTTAAAAGTAACCCTGATACCTGATTTGGGACCACTTCTAGGCATCTTAATGTAGTGTCTTCCATTCACGGCGGAATAACTGCACTCGACAACCCCTGGATCTCCATTTTGGGGGTTTGAACTGTGCTTTGTAAACTAGGCTTTTCATCACGCACAAAATTCCGGCATCACTTTCTATCTCCGGCTACTATGCTTCTATGGAGCCAGCGAGATGGAAAATGTGTTATTTAAAGGGTAGAAAGAGATATCTGCAACTTTTTTATTTTGTTGTTTGAACCACCCTAGTAGTAGAGATATATCACTGGTCCCAAATCATACAGTGAAAAGGTCCTTTCCATAAAACTGAAGAAGGTAGGCAAAATATCTACAAAAAAATAGCCATGTGAAAAGAGGTCACAAGGCCGTATTAGTGGCTTCCTCCTATTCTTATGAATTTCAGCTGGGTATCAAAAGCCTCATTTTTCCTACTCTGTCTAAGACCAGTCATTACTTATCAAGGGCTCTAGCAAATTGTAACATTGGGCATTAACTGTGACTTCTCTACGAGGCCAAATTCAGGCATCAAGGCATCGAATCTGGGGTTGAGCGCGATGCCCCTACGGAAGCCCTGAAGGGCTACGCCAATGCTGAGTCATCTCGAAAGGCGACCCCGGGCTCTACATCGATGCATCTTGCACCTACAGCTCACTTTGCCGATTCCAGATCACAGTCATGGCAATAACCGCATTCCCCTCTGCGGCTACCCCAGATCTCGCTCTTCTCAATGTCGCCCGCCTGTTCACCAGACTTGAGCACAATCTCCTCTCCCCGGGGGCAGACCGGCGCTCATTCCAACAATCAGAATACCAGCGCATGCGCGTGAACAAGGCAAGTATCTGCTTATCGCTACCAAGGCTTTACCTCCAAGGGAAACATTGAGAAGGGACAAATATGTCAGAACCTCGTATCTGACCAATGCCACAGAACGTTGACTACGCCCGCTCACTCCTTACCCAACTCGAGCGCTCCCTCCCACAAATTAAACCGCTCAACCGCAAACATGAAGCACAAGCCGAGATCGCGCGCGACAGACAGCTCCTGAAGCGCATCCAGACCATTCTCGACGAAGAAGACGCCAAAGCCGAAGCGAAGGAAGATGAAGAGGACGAGACCGACGACATCGATGACATCGATGACGAATGGAAGGAGCTGTTCTCCAAGCCTGTCGCCCAGAAAGCTATCTCGCCGGTATCCAGACTGAAAGACCACCGCGCACCAACACGGCTATCAGATTCGCCACCGGAAGTCAAGGAAACGAGCGAAGCTCAACAGACCACGATGGTCTCCGCAACAGCGACTACTACCACCCCTACACCGGTCCCCACATCAATCAGCCTACCAGCACCCCCGACCCTCCGCAACCGCCACACAACCCACCCCGCACTGCCATCATCATCCGAAAAAGCAACGGCGACTGGTAGCAATACAAAAAAGCTCTCCGAGACGGAAGCTGAACTGAGCACCCACAGATTGGAACAGGAAGATCTAACCAGCTCGCTTCTGACGCTCGCTTCGCGATTAAAGTCCTCCACGCAGAGCTTCCAGGCGATGCTGGAGGGCGAGAAGTCTGCTTTGGACCGCGCGGTGTCGGGCATAGACCGCACAAGTACTACAATGGAGGAAGCGGGCAAAAAGATGGGGATGTTGCGCAAAATGACGGAGGGGAAGGGGCTGTGGGGGCGGATGATGCTGTATGCGTGGATTTTCGGACTGTGGGTCGTTGCCATTCTGATTGTTTATGTTGGGCCGAAGTTGAGGTTTTGAGAGGCTGTCATATTCTGGCGCTTCGCCTTCGCCCTTTTTCCTGTTTGCAACAGTTTGAGTCTCTCTGTATGCGTCGATACCCTTTTTTCACTCTGCATAGGTCAACTGTCTATCCCTCTTACTAAGCGATTGTCGACATCTCTAACTTGTGAGTGTACATTGAGAATGCACATTAAGGATATAGAAACAGTGTGGAATTAAGAGTCAGAACCTTAAGAGTCAATCCTTGAACTCTGAAATAACCCAACGACCGACCTGGCATGACACATAAGAAGGAAACATTCAAATCCGCGGATCCTGCCATTTCCCCGTGCCCAATGCCCGGATGGACGCTCTTGGCTTCCAACGGACGCGAGACCAAGGAAAATGATTGGGGGGGGGGAGACGATATGGTTACATACATAAACAAGAATTGGGGGAGAGAGATGATAGGATATCCAGCATTCAAATCAGAAGGGTCAAAAAAATGTGTGAAAGGAGATAGGAAAGAGAAAAAAAAGAAGGGAGGGAAACACTCCTTGTTTTCTGTAGTGGATATCAGGAGTGAGAAGAGAAAACACAAAAACCGACTAGAGATCGTGTCAATGGCGGGAAAAATTAGAACATGAGCAAATGGAGAATAAAACAAGGGAAATGCAAAAGAAAAATCAACGCCGGGATCTTGAAACGAGCCTTTTTGACCGGATCCGATCAGCCCCAGTTAATAAAAACATGCGATCTAGGTTTGACGCACTTCATCACCAAAAGTTAGGTTCATTAGATCAAACCGCAGAGACGGAGGTTTTCTTGGATGATGATATCTGTGAAACGTTAGACAGGTGTTGCACGCTGGGAGTGGGATGGCTGGGCTTACCGTTCACTGCTGCCATGACGAATCGGATCTGGGTGGTGTCGGTAGCGCAGGTGAAGTGCGTGTAGATCTGTTTTTGCTCGGCTTGGTTCAGAGAAACGAAACGGTTGAGAATGTAGTCGCAAGCCGCGGCGTAGTCGGCACCGCCCTCGTAATCGGGGAAATAGTTCTTCATCGGGCTGACGGGGAGCTTCTCCTTGAAACGATCGATCTTGTTGAGGAAGAGGATAATCGAGGTCTTGACGAACCACCGGGAGTTGCAGATCGAGTCGAACAAAGTCAGGGCTTCTTGCATACGATTGACAGTCTCATCTTCGAAGAGCAGCTGGTCGTACTCGGAGATGGCGACGAGGAACAGAATGGTGGTGACGTTCTCGAAACAATGAATCCACTTCTTGCGCTCGGATCGTTGACCACCAACGTCGAACATGCGGTATGTGAGGTCACCAATGATGAATGTGGTCTCGGTGATACCGGTGGTCTTCACGCGGGAACGGAGAACGTCCTGGTCAGTGGGGAGATAGTCGGGCTGGGCAATTCGCTCAATGGAATCGAAGTAGCTAAGGGAAAACGAGTTAGTCATGTCGCAATGCGACAGGCGAGTGGTATACTCACTATTTGGCAGAGTCATTCAGCTGGTATTCGCGCGATCGCTTGAAGCACTCCTGGACACCAGTATCGCGCCAAAGTTGGCCAATAGCATTTCCAACCTCAGGAGGAATGCTATCACCTTCGATCTGAGCGGGCTGCATGAAGATGGTCTGCACATGGTACTCGTGGCGCGCATCCTCCAGGGGAAGCTCGAGCGACTCCATGGCCTCGAGAATAACCCGCATCGACTGGACAGTGTTGCTGTAGATAATTTCCTTGAAAGACTCTCGCTCATCGCGGGAGTAACCACCCTCATGAATGAGCTTCATCTGCTTCAGGATCGTGGACTTTCCCGACTCTCCGGCTCCTGTATCTCGAGTCAGCCATCTGCCCGTATTTCCTTCAGGGATCGATGGATCATACCAAGGAGCAGCATCTTGATCTCGTTTCTTTGCATCATCTTATCGCGCTTGAGCTGATTCTCAATCTCCTCGTTCCGCGCCTTCCCCTCCTTGTCCTCGGTGCTCATTCCGCAACCCATTTTGACGGTATTAAGTCGCAATCAACGGTGTAAAAGGTAAGGTGAAAATGTTTTTCGTTGGAGAATGTTCGGAAGTCTGCTAGAGGGGCTGTCCCAAGTTGGATAACTGTCAGCAAGCTGGAATAATTTCATCCGAGGAAATATCGCATTGGTGGGCTCGAGGGGGGGCGTTGCGTAGGTAGTACAAGCACCGCTGAGCAGAGGCAGACGACGTTTCAGAATTGGTGTAAGCATCCCGACGCAAGGAGTCGGCACCAAGTTTATCAGAGCAAATAGCCAATTGACAAATATCGAAGGGAAAAAAAGTGTACCCACCTGAACGTGCTTTTGCGAGGTGCAAAAACGAAGGACAACCCGGCAAAAGAGTATAAATGAAAGAAACGAAAGGAAAGGAACAATCAGAAGAATTCGAATAGAATCCAATCTGGCAAAGAAGAAAAGAGAGAGAAGGAAGATGTAACAGGTGTAAAGGTAAGGGGCAAGACTGAGGGGGAAATTGGGAAAGTTTCAGCAGAGAAAGGGGATACACCGAGAATACCACGGCGATTCAGCAGACAATGGCGGGTGATTAGGGGAGCAGCCTGCTTACTGGACACTACGTATTGATTACACCAAATACACAATACAGAACAATACCACCCCGGCAGTTGGAGTTAGCTGATTGGGCGGTGTGGGGACCGGGCCAGGGGCCCATTCAGCCCCTTTTGCTGTTGCTGTTGTATTGGCCAGGTTTTGGTATTCTATCGGCATTTGATCGGTACAGATTCTATTCTCAGAGGGTATCTATAGGCAAATGTATATATGGAACATTTTGTTTCAGACATTCAGCCCTTGATAGTATACTAAAGAATAGACTACCCATGCAAAGTACTTCTCATGTATGAAGATGTCTGTAGAATCCTGGAGGCGTGCAGATCTTGTGGAGAGCAAAACTAGCATGTCAAACCACAACACGAATCACATTTGAAGATACAGGGTTGGAAACCACAGCAAACTTCAGAGGTAATTCTGGCTCGTTCAAGGATTCTGGGGAGGGAACCCCCGGCAATAGCAACTGATGTACAACAGTCTTTCGTGTAGTTTTACTCTCCAAGTGGACGTTCCATAAAGTCTGACGTCTGACCTGACCTCAGCAGCACCTCGTCTTAGATATTTTCAGTCTGAGAGAAACAACGTAACAAAGCAAATGGTCTGTGGTCCTGCCCAATCAGACTAGTCTACGCCTCATCTCATGCATCTATGTCCAGTTCTTTGAGACTTCCTTGAAACTTCTTTGAGGTCCAATGGTACAGACAACCCAACAGGTCCCCAACGTAGACTGCATATGCGTGGATCCTCTGTTTTGTGTTGAGTGGAGCCCATAGTCCACATAAGCGACTGTGCGAGAACATCAAACCGGGAGAAACTCACCATCACACCTTTTATGTTCGCACTCAGTCCTTCTACTGGTAATTTGAGAAGACTATAGAGCATGTCAGGATGATTGAAAAGGGGATTGGTCAGCACAGGGCAATGTCGATATCGGTCAGACAGAATGTGAAAACTAGAACATTTCCTCTTTCCAATCGTGTCCGATGTCGTCTCCTGACGTTTTGCACTAGATGACCCACTACCTAGATAGTGCTTCTAGCCGTTTTCTACCGCCAATTTATATGAGTAGTTCCAGGTTGAAAGTGGACTCCACTCATTACCTCGTGGCAATGGATGCCATTGAAGTCCGAGCCCTGAGCTCTGAATTTGGTGGTCGAGAAGTTTGTTTGGGTCCGAGGTCCCACCTAGGAAGGCGAAGGCGTGATTACTAATAAAATTAAATACACTACTTATTCAAGTCATTACAACGAGGAACTCATACAGGTATAAATTACCTGAAGCTCTCTGGAGCCAGGGTTGAATGATTATGACAAATTGCGTCGATCACTTCCAAGTATTTGTCCAAACCCATATCACCCACTGGAATCGCAGCTAATCTCTCCGTACTCATGTGAAGATATTCCTTCACATCAACATACAATATACCACTCTGTGCTAATATTCCAAACCGCAATGTGAATCCCAATGGGGTGAAAATCTTGGTTCCACCGATCGGGGCAAATAAACCTTCCAAGACCCAAGGAACTCGATCGATCTGATTTTTACGGGTATTCCCCACCTTACGAAGGTACACACCCTTCTTTTTCCCCAGTTCCTCCTTATCATCGCAATCATGTCGCACGAAATGTCCCACATGGGCCCTCGGGGTATGTCATCCATCAATTTCTCTGTACCATTACAATCGCTAACAACACCAGCCTTCAACCACGACAACAGTACTGACGCCGAGGCGGAGTACGATCGGCTCCGCGACCTCGCGCGCCAGGAAGCTTCCAAGCGCGCACAATGTTTCAGCCGGGTATGCGATCACCACAATTCCGTTCGCTTGATTGCAATTGCAATCGCAATCGCAGTTCTAGTCATTTCATCACTGCTAACACTCTCACCAGTCGAAGGAAGCCTACTCGAACGGGGATGGCGCCGGCGCCAAGCAGCTCTCCGAGGAGGGAAAGGCCCACGGCCGCAAGATGGAGGAGTACAACAAACAAGCGTCTGAGTTTATCTTCCGTGAGAACAATGCCAGCGGGCGCGTTGAGGCAGATACCATCGATTTGCACGGGCAGTTCGTCGAGGAGGCCGAGGAGATCCTGGAAGAGCGGATTAAGTACGCCAAGTCGCATGGGCAGAACCATCTCCATGTGTAAGTGGCAGAACAAACTCCCGAGGCCATGTGCTGGATTCAACGCGACTAACACCACTTCACTCTATAGCATCGTCGGCAAGGGAAACCACTCCGCGAATCATGTTCAGAAAATCAAGCCGCGCGTCGAGCAGGTGTGCCGTGAGTTGGGGCTGCAGTATACCACCGAGGAAAACGCCGGTCGCATCTACGTGAACCTGACTGGCGGTGAGGCTGTCATGCCTCCCTTGGGTCACCAAGGCGGCTCGTCTGGGTACCCTGGTCACCAACAAGGGTACCAGGGACACCAAGGACAGCAGCAAGAACAACACCAAGGACAGCAGCAGAATGGACAAGGACAGCAGCAGCATGGACAAGGACAGCAACAGCCGGACGAGCTCGAGGAGCTTGCCAAGGAGATTTTGCCGAAGATTCTGCGCAAGCTCGAGAAGGCTTGCTGTGTGGTTATGTGAGCCCGTATTATTGGGATTTGGGATTTATACATCGATGCATAGCTGTGCTTGTAGAAATCTGTTGGGTTTTTGATGTTCGTGACAGTTTGCGCTTTTGGTTTCTCGTTTCTAGATCATCTACCATCTACATTAGACCTTCAGTCCGGGTTCGGCTTCGATTCGTGACGGCAGGGATGCGGCTATACCCTTATACCCTTACATGAACATGAACATTACCATTTACTTTCGTGCTGTTAAATACAGCTGTTTCGACGATTCACATTTCGGGGCCATGTAAATATAGATCGCATGATCATAAACCGTTTGTAGCTACATAGCCAACTTTGTGAAAGCAAGATAACGGAAACTGGGTATATCCAAACAAGACGCGACACTCACAAAATCATACAAAATAGCCCCCCCCCCCCCCCCACCCAATCTGCGACGAAACAACTAGCGCGCATTGGAATCGGAGAGCGTCGACTCCACGATCTTTTCCACAATAGCACGCACCATTTGCCCATCACCAGCTCCATCGATCTTCGGCATAGCATCAATCTTCTCAATCAACGCAAATGCCTGATCTCGCAAATCTGCGACAACCTCACAGGTGTGCGCAAAGCTGCCTGTGTTCTTCATATACTGCACCGCATAGCGCTTGACCTCCACATCCTTGGTATTTTGCTTCAGGAGATTGATTAGCTGGTGATTAGATGGGTTTGAGCGAATGCTATGAATAATCGGGAAGGAGAATTTGCCCTCAGTAAGATCCTCGCAGAACCCCTTATTCTCCGTGTACACTGTATTCGAGAGGTTGAGGTAATCGTCGCAGATCTGGAAAATCAAGCCCATGACATTGACCAAGGCAACGCAGTTCTTCTCCGTTGGGCTCTCTGCCTGCATGAGTTTCACCGCGAGCCGGAAGAGCCCGCCCGTTTTGTTGCCTACCATTTCAAGGTATTCGTCTTCCGTCGGGCAGGTCAGCGTGTCGCGCCAGAAGAGATCCATTCCCTGGCCCCGGTGCAGGTTTAACATCTCTTGTACGTAGATTTCGATTGCGGCTGGGTTTTTGAGCTGCTGAACTTCTTGCAAGGCGAGAAAGTACACGTAGTTTGCGGAGTTGATTGTCTGCGCTGTTCCGAAGATGTTGTGAGCTACGGGGATGCCGCGGCGGAGGACGGAGTTGTCTTCGACGTCATCGATTCTGGCGCCCACGCGGTCAGCATCAGAACGGGCATTCGGCAAGGAGGGGAAGTGATAGTAGAGGGTTCAAACTCACAGCAGTGATGCGGTATGTAGCATCGTTACGACCTTGGTGATGGTCGCCAAGCTCGCCGGCGGGACCTGCAGCCAGGCGTTGAAGGCGTGGATGAGTTGTCGCCGAATGTCTTTCCCTGGTTGCTCGGCCACGTAGTCATAAGGACCCATGAGGATCTTGTCATTCTTCGATGACCAGGTTCCATCCTCGTACTGTGTGTCGTCCATGCTGGACTTGTTGCCACTATGTGCAGTTTTCGTCGGCTCTTCATCTGTCACCGACAACTTGGGTTGGTGGGAGGGGCTCCCCGTGCCATTTATTGCATTGGCTGAACTTGTCCGAGGAGGAACAGGACTTGGTGGTTGGAAGGCTGTCGAGTTCATGGTTGTGGAAGGGAAGATGGAGGGGCATGGTGGGCAGAAGAAAGACGTGGGGACCTAGGGAGCTCGGAGCCTACTACAAGTCCGAATCTATGCGAAGTGCACCGATGACACTCAGCTGCACTTTTACAAGACATCTTCGCATGTAGGCGATCACGCTATGCGAGTTAGATTTTATTAAACATCGTGCAAGACGTATACATATTTTGAAGAGAGCCAGAGGTACTGATGATGAATGTCTGAACACCGAGGTCCATGACTAATCGGGCGGAGCTGAGGTATGACGCTTTCGTTGCACATTGCTTCTTTTGCTACGCCGTAGTAATACCAATCCTAATGGTCGATAGTCATAGATTTTTGGAGCGTAGTTCAAAGCTTCTTCTATAATCAATTAGTGGTCTGAATTTGAAAGAATTACCATATCTAATGCCAGTGGCGTGCATGCAGTAGCGTGGTTCTCGGCCGAACTGGCACGGCAAGGTAGACACTCTTACAGGGATAGTACCTACCTATTGAATTGACAAAGAAATATGTCTATTAGATTAACAAAACTATTCCTGATAAATTCATGGGTAGTGTCGAGGTCAACAAATGGATTGTTCAGTCATTGTGCGTGCACAATGTAATGTTCACTATAGCAACGGGTTCCAGTGTAGGGTTAAAAAAAAAGAGGTCAAAATACGGTGTACACGACTACGTAACTAGATTTACAACCCCTATAATCAACGATAAACTTGAACCTGATTGACGCCAGGGGTCGATCTGTTGAGCTAAGAGTTCTCTAATGTGATGAGTTCCTTGGTTATAGGCCTGTTGTCTGGGGCAACCGCCCTTTATTTACTACGAAACCTTGGAAGGGCCCAATTGACCTCATCCACCCAACCCAGACAACACACAGACACCTTCTCCACTTTCTTTTTTAGCCCTTGGATTTAAGAATGTTCACTGCTTTTCTTTTTCCGAGTTGAATAGCTCACTTTTCATATCTGATTTATCAATGGAGGCTCTATTAGCCCATTCGTTCGATTACCTCTCCTCATATGAGCCTAGCAAGATCCGCAAAGGATTACGCCAGGTCGAGGGACTACTAGCACAGATATGTCTATCGAAACCTAAGCCTGTCTCGGACCGGAGATCACGCTCCCCAGATACCCAGCCCGTGCCAAAGATGTTGTCAGACTTGCGAGATGATCCGGCCTTTCGGGAATTTTCCAAATTGCAGGAAAGCTTTCAATGGAACAGTAGGTCTTTGAAATTCCTATCAGAAATAGTCCCTGAGTGCTCACCATTTGCTTCAGTCGCTATGCGCCTAGTATCTTGCCTCGAACATCTTCTAGGTCGAGGAAGCAACGGCACAAACGACATGTTGATCGTCTGCACACTGGATCTAATCCAAGGTGCCCTCCTCCTCCATTGCAGTTCACGCACCCTCTTCGCCCGTGAAATCTACATGAACCTCCTCCTCGACCTCCTTGACCCGATCAACTGCCCAGCCGTGCAATCAGCAACCCTCCTCACACTCGTCACAGCTCTATTAGACTGCCCATCAAATACACGCACATTCGAGGAACTAGATGGTCTCCTCACTGTCACATCACTCTTCAAACAACGTGCCACCTCCCGCGAAGTCAAACTCAAGCTCGTCGAGTTCCTCTACTTTTATCTGATGCCCGAGACAATGGCCCTGGCACCGATGTCTCCCCCGCCAGGTCTGCATCGCAGCCCGAGCAAACTGTCCCCTGCCCCCTTCTCGCGCAGTGCGCACTCCACGGCAAACTCTGCGAGTAAACCGAGTCGCGATACACGCACGACAGATGAGAAGCAAGCTCTTCTGGGGAGATATCTCAATAATGTGGAGGACCTCGTGGAGGATTTGAAGGAGACGGCTCCGTTCGGGGCGACAGTTTACTGAATGACTTGACTGGCGATAATGGACTCACTGCTTGATGACTAATTATGTGCGATGTCCACTGCGATTATGTGGTGTTTTTTTACCCCTCTTCTCACTCGACCTTTTTCCACCTTCCCTTCTCCCTAACGTCTTGTTATCTTGTTCCCGAGCGTTTGACTAATGTTCCGTCCGGTACGGCAATTATACGATTCCTTGGACTGATGCCTGCCCCTTTTTGGCTTGTCTTTCGTGCTGTCCTTATTTTTTTCCCCTCTCGTTCTAGAACTTGGTCGACCTTTCTAGTATGGCCTCTGCCTAGGTTTTGTTTCGTTATCGCTTCCCTTGTATCTTTAACGATAAGATGAATGTGTACGAACCCTGCTAGCTGTGACTAAACCAACCTGTCATTGTTGTTAAATAATCATTAGCATCCCTTCGTAAATACAGTCCTTCAATGTAGACTTGGGCTTAGTACATTCTGCTTGAAGGCTACTAAGCTTCTTGGTTGTCCTCGGGTCTTGTTTGTCTCTCTTCATCTATGAATCAGGTTTGTAGATTTAGATACTTGACTTACCGTTCACGGATGACACTCGATGTAGCACGGACTCTAATAGATCTTCGTTTAAAGTGGAGAAAAGTAAAACTAGATTTAGCGTGGAACACCATATCTATATATCCCCGCAAACCCACTGAAATCTAGACTCGTTCCACGGTACAACCATATTCCCGAAATACCGCAAACAATTCAAGAACTACTTGCGACGAAGCCTTCCAGAAAGTCACCGCAAATGGAAAATGCGGACACGGTAGAAGCAGACGATAATCGGCAGAGGTGAGTTCTACATTCCAGTTTCTAATTTCTCGTCCATCACCTAGATCATATCTATTACATTCTACACGCACAGCGGCACAAGACAACCAATGTTATAATCACCTTAAAATGATAGTGGGAACTGCAAACGTCCCAAACTAACACGAGATAGGTCTATGATACGGACGGAAACTTCCTACAACGTCTTGACACAATCGAGATGCGCTCTCTATAACCCCAGTTCGTTAACCGGAGAGGCAAACGCGTCCAACAAAATCCGCCAGGATCAGAATCAGAGACCGAGACAACCCGCCCCAGCCTAGTAGATCTAGGCTGCGGCCCCGGCCGCAATACAACCCAGCTCCTCTCCGCGCTAGGCACAGCCAACAAAGCCAGCTCCTTCTCTGTGATCGGATTGGATGTCTCGCACGGGACTTTAGATGTAGCGCGGACTGCGATGCGGGACTATGTGACCAAAAGCACAGCACAGATTGAAATAGAGCTCGGGATCCTTGACCTCCTTCAACCTGAGCTATCGAAGACCCAGCTTCCATCTTCGCTGTAGGAACCGGGTGCTAGAACATAGAACATATTCCGCTTGAGCGCACTTTTGCTGCAGCAGCGGGAATTACGAGATCCGGTGCTTATTTGCTTGTGACGAATATGCATGCCGAGAGGGGGATGTAGAGCCAGGCGCAGTTAACAGAGGACAGGGATGTTAGGGTTCGGCCTAAGAGCTATTGTCATGTTATTCTTGATGTTTTGGATGTGGCCAGGGAGGCTGGGGTCGATATTGAGGAGGGCATTGGTGCAGGTGCGGATGGGATGGTTGTTAAGGGGGTTGATGAGGAATTGGGGGATATGTTGGGGGCGAGGGCGAAGAAGTGGGTTGGGGCTAAGGTTTCGGTTTGGGCTTTGTTTCGTCAAGAGGAGTGGAAATAGATAGTTAACTCAGGAAAGGTATCATTTTTATCTATTCAATGACTTCAGACCCAACGCCTTGTGTTGCAGCTGTAAATTTAGAAGAATTTCAGTAGTCTATCTCTGTGTTGTACAAGATTGGGATGTTCTTTGAGCAGCTGTCCCAGCCGGTTCCGTTTCCATCCCAGGGTATCGTCCAGAATCAGTTGCGTGTAGGCAAAGACGCTGGCATCGAACAGACCTGGCGTTGACCGGCCGAAGAAGTGCTGGTCCTTGCCGAGCAATGTGGATAGCGCCTCGAATGCGCTACTCGCATCGCCTTCTAGGGCAGCGGCGTCGATGTAGCGCGATGTTTTGAGAAGCTCATCACGGGCCGCCTGTTGGAGTTGGTGGCATAGAGCGGCGCGCACGAGCGAGTTGGAGGTTGTGGGATTCACGTAGAGTCGGCGTGCGACGGCGTCAAAGTTCTCACTGTCTAGGTAAAGCATGTATAACTAGACACGTCGGTCAGCTTCCTCGAGTGCCTACGGATTGTTTCCGATGGAATAATGTGCCTACCCAAGCGCTGCGTATCCGGTTGTCCAAAAGCGAGGCATAAACCTCGAACCGCAGGTTCAACTGTTGTTCTTCCTCGCAGTGAACTTGTTCAATGGCCCACTTTTGGATCTTGTGTGAAGGGATCGGATTCGAGGAGTCTGCAGGCAGTGAGGGTAAAAGGAAAGGCAAGGAGCCATTCGGCGATGCGTGATTGTTGGATGAGGTGATCTCAAAGTCAATACCGACGAATTTCAAGTATGCCTGGAACGAGGCAGATCAGTATGGTTCCGAGCGGGACTGCTACGCGCGTTCTTGTACGCGACTATAAACGACACGAACCTGCCATTTAAGACATTGGGGATTGAATGAGGGTCGGCCATGTCGTACACCAGATGCATCAGCGAACACATAGAGCTGGTTGACATTGTCGTGCGGTCGAAAGCGTTGAGGGATCTCGTTAGCGGGATAGTTAGTCAATGGGAACTTGTCGAAGAGGCGCTTGAGAGGGGCGGGGATCGTAAAGAATGGACTGGGACTGGATTCCTCTGGAGGACCATCGGCATCATTGGGTGGCATTGTGGTGGTTTGAAGCTTTCCAAATGTCGCCAAAGCCCAGAAGTGTCCCGAGTGCCGTCATCGAAACATTTCCGACGCGCCAAGCCCGAACAGGCAGGTATTGCCTTACCTAATGGTGGCCAGGTACCGTCCTCCCCGCACCTTTTTTCCGCCTTTTTTCCGCCTTGTTTGAGAATGGTCTGAACTTGCTGTGATCGATGGACTACTGGGACCATTTGAAGTCGGCATCTTAGTGCTTAATCCATGTGTTTTGGTGTTGATGTTGCGATCACATCAGCCCGGTCTCTCCCGCCTCCAATTTTGAAGAAATTCAAACCTCCACTTCGCTCCGTCTCGACTCCACCTTCGACTCTGATCTGCTCCCGAGAAAGAGATTTTGTCAATACGGACATACACATGGCTTAGTTCGTCGCAAAATACGAGGCATCTGACGGTCCTAGCGGAAACGGGCGACTGCATGCGCGGGGTATCGACCAACCGTTTGATGTTCTGCGACTGACGGTTGCGCCACTACGAATCAACCTTACATCTCACCTTGAATTCGACGGAATCATACATATCTCTTCGCCAAAATGCCTCTCGATGAAGAAGGTGCCAAGTGGTCCTGGTAGGATAACACCGTACATTGTCAATGGAACCGGGCTAAAGAGTTACACCAGTGAACCATGCATTCGAGGTCACCGATCGTCTAAATGTCAGCACTTCGATAGACTCATGATGAAGGTACCCAAAGCCGGGCGTCCTCTTGCAAAATGTCCCCACCCGAAAGGAACTTGCAGCTGCCAGAAGACATATGCTGTCATGGTCCGCATCCCGAAAGGTACATGTTTGCCACCACACATGTGTTTGCATTGAACTGACTTGCTCCAGGCTCATCATGCTTATGTCGTCCGCTCTATAAAGTCCCCATGGAAGCCAATGATTCAACTCAGTCTCCACCGCCCTCCATGGCTCCCACATCATCACCAGCTCCAGGCAAGGTTCAAAAGTCTGGAAGAAGACAAAGTACTATGCAAGCAGCACCTGAAAACATAGCACGTGCATTAGAGAACAATATGCTGGAGAAGGTTAAACTCGAAGATGGAATGTCGAACTTGGTTTCAGACTTCTCTCCACAGCTCGGGTCAGATGGCTCACACCCTTCACCCACAACATCTACACAAACCCCAAAGACGCCATTGCCCACAGCAGCTACCAGGCAAGACTCGCAGTCCCCACATGTATCAAGCTGCTGCTCTCAAAACCAAAAGCCGAAGTCACACACCCCATCCCCAGCTCCTGCCGTGGCTGCTGCTCTGGCTCAGATTGGTGGATCCTGTTGCGGAGGGTCCTGCCCTTCCACGACAAATCCTGTTGTGTACCCAGAGGCCGACCAGCAGCAATTCCAACAACCTTTTGCTTGGGATGATCACAGTTACGTGCAATTCCCCATGCCCCAAATGTCCCCATGGCCCAATAGCTCGATTACCACGCATGGAGACTACATGCATTCCGCCATGCACCAAGCACACCCCCAACACCGAAGTCTCCACAATGGGTACATGGGGATGCTGCTACCACACTCTCAGCCTCAAATGGCCCAAATGGGGGTGTCAGTCGATGTAACTTCGCCGCCATCTCTGGCGTATTCTAATCCGATGAACGGGCTGGGAATCACGCAGCCATCTATGGGTCCATACATACTGAACAACCTCGGACCTTCCTACAATGTCTCACCAGTCGGCGACTCTTTTCACGACTGTAGCTGTGGAGAAGATTGTCAGTGTCTTGGTTGCGCTGCTCATCCGTTCAACACCACAACCCGGAAGCATGTCCAAGAGATGGGTGCCATGATCACCTCCAACGGTGATGACAAGAATCCTGAAATCGCTAACCCTTACCGATCCTCATCTTACCAGGGCGGCGCATCTTCGGCCCAGTTCCCTTACTTCATGCAAAGTAATCCGTCGATAGACCATGGCTTCCAGCAGATGCCGTTTGATAGGCACTCGGATCCAAATTCCACTCTACCCAGTGGTTATGCCTCCCCTCTGTCAGCAAACCACCATCTGAACCAGCAGTTGATGCATCCTTCAGAGTATTACACCCTGGAATACCCAGTCGGGCTACCAAGTGCCTGTTCTGACATGACGGGCAGCTGTCAATGCGGTAGCGACTGCAGCTGTGTGGGCTGCCTCACACATAGCGGCCACAACGGTCTTTCTCTGGACGTGCCTATCCCCGAGCCCCCCATTACCAACATAGCGGAAAGCCAAACTCAATCTTCCCACTCTGTTCCTCACACAAGTTCCGCTACGTCTCACACTTCGCGGATCCCTGTGCTGGACAATATTTCTGTGCGCTGCCTGAGTCCGCGCACTCTGGAGACTTCCATGATCTAGATGATCTACGGCTTGATGATTGATTACCGTTTTCTTTCTCCCCTCTCTTTTCCTCCGCGTCGTTTTTGATCTTGCATGATTTATGATGTTCTATGATGATACCCTTTCTAAAATCTCTGCTCTAGACGGCCACAGTAATAGATTGCCTGTTTGAATGTAATCTGTTGTGTCGAATCCTCCCATTTTTTCAGTCATCGATTTTCTTATTGTTCTCTGTAGTGTTTCGCGAATCCTTGCTTTCAATGCTCGTACTTCACCTAGAACTAGATGGGGTGCATAATGGCGCAAAAACCAGAGACACCCGGGGGCCATTTTCGCTCACACCAAAGCCCCAACAGACAACGACATTAGTTTGTTTGTATGTTCTAATCATTTTACTCTGAAATTAATATGATGATCGTCAATGCATTGGGGGATATCATAATTCTGAAGCAAAAGATAGTGTACAAATAAAGGACAGTCACCCACAAAACCAAATCAACCCTTATTCCACTTTCCGAACTTCACATAGTCATCATAGAGCGACTTGAATACCGCACGACCAGAGACATCCAGCGCAGCGTTAAGCGCACGCATAGACTCACGTGACATGACATCTAGAGCCGCATACAGACCAGGTAAGATAGCAGCCTTGACCTCTGGGGACAGCGACCCACGTAGCGAGCACTGCGCATACTCCATAACAACATACTGCAAGTACTGACCTGCGATGCGCTTCGCCTTCTTCGTCTGATCAGTCAGGGCCTCGCGGGATGCACCAGGCTGGGGGCGAAGAACCGCCGAGACAGTGGGGTCGCACAGGGAGGTGAGCAGACGGGTGTAGTAGGTAGCATGCAAGGCATCGAGCGGTGCGAGCCAGAAGGGCTGTGAGAGGGTGGACTGGAAGCGGGAGCGGCCGCGTTTGCGGGACCGCGCAAAGAGACAGCCGAGCAGGCGCTGCATGGCGTTTACCACTAGGTGGAAGCGGCCGCCAATCTTGAGGCGTTGCAGGCTGAGTACCACACCCATGAGTCGGCACAGGCGGGTGTAGATGGTTGGTGCGTAGGCGGGGGAAATCTGCGGACCAATTTTGGAGGAGGCGCTTGCGATTGCGCTGAGAATGCTGTCGATATTGCATTGGGCGAGGCTGCGGGTGTGGCTGCGGAGGAGGTGGTCCAGGCATTCGGAGGCGAAGCAGAATTGGTCGATGCTTGTGCTTTGGATGATGACTTCGGCGAGGGAGGTGCAGAGGAGGGAGATCTCCCGTGCTGTGGCGCTTTCTCTATCTTCGACAGGAGGGAGCGAGGAAACGGCGAGGTAGAGCACGAGAAGTCTGTAGCCGGCGTTTTCGCCAATCAAGCCAAGTCCGCGGACTTCACAGATTGTATGGGTGATTTTTTCCACGGTCATCGAACGGAAGCGTTCCGTGGTAGTTTGGATGAAGAGCTGCTGGTCCTCGGCATATAAAGACTTAAGGGCAAGAGTCTCGGCGCATTGCAGGACTGGCTGAGCGATGTTCTGCTCAGGTCCTTTGCTGGCAAGGAGACGTCGTCGGATCAACCGAGACGGTTCCGAATCAACGGACATTTCCATGTAATTGTCAATCTTAGTCAGGAACTTCTCCACTTCGATGTTGTTGGTGGCTAGATCTTCGAAATCTTCTAGAGCATCAATGGTCTTGATAAGGGTAATCGTCTCCTCCATCTTCTGCTTCCTGCACTGGTCTTTGACATGTTTCATGTCAGCCAACACAAAATCGAATACTTTCTGGCGGCAAGCGGCAAGTTCCTTCTCTGAGAAGGCTGTCTGCAACTGCTTGCGGTGGACCCAAAGCTCTGACAAAGTCAACCTCAAAAGGTAACATGCCATGGAGTCACGATCCACCTGCTTCATCTTAGCAGTTTGCTTCGACGCCCGGGAAAAGAGTTTCTTGAACATCTTGTTCCGCTCATCCTCAGACGAAACTAGGAGCTTGGCCGAAACCGCGCGGTGCAGGCTTCGGAATGCTTTCATAATCTGGAGGTCGAGGTCGGTGCCCTCCAATGGGACGGCTCGAGCAGCAGTCCAGATGGGGTCCCAGTCACTAGTCAGTGTGGCATCACACTTAGGCATAGCAGCCAGTTTCGCCATCATCGTAATAATCCCGATTGTGACATCTGGAGAACTATTCTGTTCAAGTAGAACATTTTGCAACTTGTTCAAAATGGTAGTTCTCAGCCCCCGAGTGATCAACGGGGCCGGAACCCTCTGTAAGCTCTGAATAAGCAGTTTGCGATTGGAGGAGTCTTGCTCGATGCTATCGTTGAGGAGAAGGGAAAGATCAGAGACAATGAAGGGAGCGTTGAGCATATACTCGTGGCAGACCACGCTCGCCCACGCCTGAAGAAACCTTGCTTCTTCTGATACAGCCTCCAAGGGCAGCGATGACGAATGGTATTGAGCGGCTGCCAGGGACAGAATATGCCGGAACAGACGGGATCGATCTTCAGATGAGATAAGAACCCAAACATCCGGAACTCTGACAAGGGCCAGGAAATATGCTAGGCCAAGAGTTGTTTGAGAATCCACAGTATCTGTGCGGCCATTCCAGGGTGCCTTCATCGACTTCTTGGCATCCTTGGTTGAGATGGAGGTGATGAGGTCAGTGACATCCTTGGTGGCTTTAACGAACGAACCTAGCGGCTCATCACTAGCGTGTGCTTTGGCTGTAGCAATTAAGAATCGGTAAGCCTCCCACGACTCCAGAGGGGCGAGTTGAACTTTGGTTAGGTCCTTGTGGTTGCGATGAACAGTCTTGGCGGCGACTTCTGCCAATGAAATGATTGCATTTGCCATGGCATTATCAGCAGACTGCAGTGAGTTGTCTAGGAAATTTCGTACCAACCGCCACAGACGCCATCTCCAGTGCAAAGCCTGCTTTGACGATAGAGTAGAGGTTAAGATTTCCAGGAGAGATGTGAAGGTCGTTTCCGATTCTGGGAATGTCGACACTCGGCCACGGAAGCTTGCCTCCACAATTACGAATTTGGCATAAGACTGAGGAGTTTCAGCAACCTTGCCATTTTCAGCTCGCGTCTCGCTGGCAGCGGTACGCATCTGGGCAGCAATATGCGTCTCAGTGAGGGAGGTTCGCATCAGCTCCGAGTAAGCATCTGCCAACTCATCATCTTCCCACACCGAGAAGAAACTCAAATTGCTATTATCTTGGCGAGCCTCCTCCAAAACAACAAGCTGGTTGTGCCACAATTCCATGAAGCTGGGTAGATCTCTTGCGGCAGCGAAACCTCGTAATAACGGCAGCACAATCTTGCTCTTGATAATGTCGTGGTCCCTTTGTCTTCGAGAACCACTTTCGCGCCACTGCAACATAACCTTGTCGAGCAATGCGTCAAGAAGCTTACGCGAATCACGCAAACCAGAGTTTGGCAGGAAAATATCAACCCCGAGACTGATAAACAGAGCAGTTACATTCCACTGGACCTTCTCAAGACCTTGTTCAAAAAGACCAGTGTAATTGGCATGCGCCAGAATGGTGTGAAGAGAAAGACCAACCTTTCGGTCAAGAGCTACCTGGAGGAGGTGCTCCAATACCGATATGAACTTGGAAGAAAAGGTGGCGAAGTCTTCCTCCTTTGCAGTAGAGAACGCTAGCTCTGCAACAGCGACAAATAAAGTCTCCAACCACGGAGCTTCATGCGTTTGCCTCCGGAACACATCTCTAGGGACAGCACGCACGGCATTGTCAAAAAGCTCAGGAAGAAGCTCCACTGATCGCCAGGGATGCATACAAGCTTCATTGCTTGCTTTGTTTTCCTTGGCCACAGCAAACTCGCGAATGATTGGCCTGAAGGTATCAGTCACTGGTTTGACCGAGCTCCAGTCGGGCTCATCCTGAGAATAATCTATGCCAGAGCTTCCACGTTCAAAGAATGCTGCACGTGCGGGAAGTAAGACATGAAGGGCAGTAATGCGTTCAATCGCATGTAGGAGAGTGGCTCGCTCGTCGGTGTCAAGATTGGCAGACCGAAGGCATATCTGGAGCCTAAGCGCATGGGCGAAACAATGTCTCGCAAAAAACTCGTTGCTAGACTTGTTGTCCATATCATCTTCACGGTAAGACCTCGATTCCCACAGCTCTACCGCCGAGGGAAACACGTACAGCAAGTGCTGGAGATCGGTTGTTTTCCCCTCATGCGAGAACTGCTTGGCGGCCACGGCAGCCACCCGGAATGCTCGGCCCAGCAGTATGGCGACGGTCTCGGGCTCGCCCCTCAGCGCAAGCTTCAAATGAGAGTTTGCCACCCCATCAGTGCCTAGTGTGCGATGCGCAAGTGTCACAAATCCATGTAGACAATCCAATGCGCGGATAAAAGCGAGGAAGCATGCTGCGGGGTTCTGACGTTGCTCGTCCACGTCTACGTCCATGGCGTCTGCATCATTCTCAGTTGTCATTCTCTTGCGTTTTTTCCCTTGGTTCCCTCGGCGGTCATCGTGTGTCGAAGATCCAGACAGTGTGTTACTAGACTCGGAGTCAGAGCTTAGGGTCGCAAGCTCGTTCCCCAGACCGGAAAAGATATCGGCCTCCAAATCCTCGAGGGTGTCACATAGAATCGACAAGAATTTCTGGTCTTTAAGAATAGCAGCGAGATTCTTCGGCGAAATCAGGTCGATTAGCTGTCGCAATAAAAGGAAAGAAGCCGCGTCCACTCTGTAGTTCTTCCCACTTCTCAGTCTCTTCAATAGCCATCGCAGAACCCATTCCTCTTTCGGGGTAGCGTTTGTTTGAATCCGAACATCACAGTGAACTTCCGGGTGACTATCACATAGCGTCAAATCCACGCCGATAATCTGAGCCGCTTCGTGAATCTGGGTTGTTGGACTGGCGGTGCCCTTCTCAAGGCGGAGGAGCGCCTCTTGCGATGAGCGCGGACGCTGTAGAAGCGCAACACATTAGATTTCGCGACAAGACAAGATTTATTACATTGTAACATTTGACATACCTCCGCAATCGACGGCATCTCGAAAAAAGCAAATTATTCGAGAGAGTGGATGGTTATTTGTCGAGGGAAAAAAAAAGAGAGACCACGAAGAAAAACCGCGGATTGCTCCGACCGCCTTTGGCCAAATCGACTCGGTCCGCTGAACCTCCCAAACTCCTTGCACTCCACACGCCTCCATTCACCTCTATAATTCCACATACTTGCAACTGGTTAGTGTGTTGCCCTTGGAAATAGCTCCGATTCGATTGTTGCTTACTTCTTCCCCGGCAGATTTATCGCAATGGCTGAATCCAGTGAATCCGGGCCGATCGCGCGCGCCACCAGGCCCGTTAGCGAGGCTTTGCTTAACGAGAAGGTATGAGCTAGCTGGATCCTCTATTGGGAGAAGTTGCAACAAATCATCATACCATGATATAAGTTGACGATTGTCTCGTTCTGGGAGCAAATATGGGAACCCCCGTTGGCTAACCGTCAACGTCATATAATTAGTGGGACCGCGCCATCTCCTCTGTGCTCATCAAGTCCTCCCTCGGTCTGTCTTTCGGTGTTGTCTTCTCGGTGCTCCTCTTCAAGCGCCGAGCTTGGCCCGCGTGGGTTGGTCTCGGCTTCGGTGCCGGACGTGCCTGGGAAGAGGCTGATGGTACGTTCATATCTATGTTTACATTTGGTTCGGCTTTTAGAGAGACTCTTGGTGAAGTCGGAGCTTCGAGTCACTTTGAGATAAGCTCCCATGAGCTTGGGCAGAGGCAGCTTGCTCTACTATTTTCCGCATCGAGCTTCGCGTGCCCCTCAACAGTCACCCCACTATCCGCTTTTCACCGAAACCTGTCTATCTCCAAGATCTAAGAACAACTGAGCTAACTTGCACTTAGCCTCTTTCCGTCGTGGCGACTCCCCTATTAGAGATGCCCTACGCCGCTAAATAATGGCTTCCAAGTGTGCACGACACATTGTACAGAAGGCAAGAGGCCATCACTGAGCGGTTGTCTTAGCCCAGAGAAGAATTGGTTTACCGTTACTCACCAAAGAACCATCGACATCGAACAAGGTGTTTCCTTGAGTTTTTTTACCCTCGTCTTTCAAATTAAGAAACATGATTCGAATTGAAAACATGTCCTGGAGCTTCACTTGCAACACTTGCCGTCAGTAATTTCAGACCTTCGCTCCATGTGAGATCGAAGGCACAAGTCGATACAAAAACGTTCAAGTTGTAAATCGGATCTGCGAAGCAGAATTTCTCTCTTTGTGGTCACTATAGATGAGCTTATGTCTATCAATTTAGAAGAAAAGCGACAACACAAGGAGTTCCAGAGGCCCGTATACAAGAGGGCATCTTTTCAAAATACAGGGTCCGCTAGCCTTGGCTCGGGAGATGCCGTCGGGTGCAAATTGAGTGTGACTGGTTGTCCCGCCCCTGATGGAGGTAGTTTCAACCAGGGTTCTCGTTTCCACCAGCCTGATATGTGGTACAATCCACCGCATCTATAGTATGGTTGATGCCGAATTGGGGAGATGGGTGAGTGAGTCCATCTGCTATCAAATGATACTATCTACGAGTACTGACTCGGATAGAACCCTAGTGTCAGTCAGATAGGCGATGACTGCAACTTGGCAACTTGATCTCAGATCTCTGCTATTGTATTCAGGTCAATCATGTCTCAGAGACCCACCGTGGACGGTACCCTCGATAGTCAATCTCAGCCGGGAAGTGTGTCACCACACCAATTCCTACACGGGCCAGGACCGCAACAAATTCTATTTGGTTGTCAGTGGTGAGTTCTGCTGTAATATTGCGACTGCCCAGGGAATATCCCTTGACAACCTTGACGCCTGTAACTCAGCAGCTGGAAGCTCTTGCTCGGCCCTCCGGCATGGTTGTGTCAGTGTGATATCAAGTACCACTACAGCTCCTCCACCTCCTACAACCAAGATGACGACCACAACCTCCGCAACCGCAGATACAGTTGGAAACGAGGCTGTTACTCCTACACCGAATCAGACAGGCATAGCGACAAATCACAATAGGTTTCATCTTGTTGATAGGGAAGATGACTGTTACGATATTGCTGTGGCTGCGAACATCACACTGGATGACTTCTATGCCTTAAATCCCTACCATGGGAAGCATGTGTGCTGGTCTACGGCCTAATCGCCAAGTCTGCATTGATATTTAGCAAGTACGGAAACAGGTCTGCCGGGGAAGATTGTGATAGATCAAAGGAACACATTCCACATTTGGCCTTTGCTAGCGAACACACATCTGTTCAAGGCTCGATATTTATTGATTTTCAAAAGGGAAGAGTGACTGTCAGAACTTTCTAGAAAAGTCCATTTTGAGTACAGGCTACAAGTAAAGTGAAAATCAAGAATGACAGAATGTCGTGATCTAAGAAAATAGCTGAGATCCAAAAACCTGCCACTTTCTTCATGCATTTCGTTCTAGGGATTTTTCCATTCGCGAAAGCATTCCTGCCTTTTTGCTCATAGACAGATGGAACATTTCACGCCTTCTCATTCTGATTGGCTTTGTCACATTCCTTGTTATGATCGCCATGGCAATCAGACCTGCGGTTGGACAGGATGTTAATACTGGCTCGACAGCGGGAAAGCTATGCCTTTGGAATGATAGTTGGGATCGCTATGTTAGTCTGTTTTAGCACAATTCTTTAAAGCCTGTTAACCTATGATCTAGTTCGACTTATATCGCACTGAGTCACTGCCAATCTCTTGGCTTTTTTGGTAGGATTTTCCTGCAGAGAATCATTTGTCGCGTTGTCAGCAGCTAATCGAAGATTTGTCTGAAGTAAATAGCCCAGGCTGTGGAACACCGTCATAACGAGCAACTGAGTTGCAGGTAATGGGGGGTTTTTTTCTGGCCGTTGTTAGATGCTATACGACTGGAAGGTAGAAAGAGTTTTCCTCACACTGATGTAGCCTGGTGACTGAGGCCTGCATTTGCTAACAAGCTTTGTTTTCGATTAACATTCTGGTATTTTGTCAAGAGCAGACGCCCAAAGTTTCGAGTAGAAAGGCGACCGTTTCTAGCCTCAAAAGCGGACATTCCGGCATCAGTTTCACAGGTCCTTAGGTACTAGGCGAAAGAGAATGTGTGGAATTTCCCGTAGATGGTTCAAAGCTCACATTTGAGACGACACAAACAAGGGTTGAGTATCTAGGAACACGCATAATCAACCTCTGCACAATCAAATTGATCGACAGAGATGTTGCTCCCCGCTGTTGTCATAGCAAAGAAGGCCAAATGTGACAAGAATGGGGCATCGACTATGGCTGCTAGTAGACGTGAGAGAATGACTTGACCCTATACAGATATCGAGGTTCCTAGATTTTATTTTGGTACGAGGGCAGGTAGTAGGGCCTTGGTGACAAAAAAGGAATCCTGGTAAAAGGTCCATATCTGGAAAACCAGGAACCCAGAAAGCAATCAACCATCATATCATCGCAAAATACATCCCAGCTAGGGAGTTAATTATATACATTCAAGCCCGCTAGAAAGCAAGAGCAACAGAGAAGACCTATATCCAAAGAAAACGCCGCAGTTAGAAATCAGAATACCCAAGCCCGCTCAAAGCTTCACGTCTGAAGCAGTTGGGCCCTTCCGGTTATTCGACCCAAGCGCACTAGAAAAAGACCTCTGATCAGCATACCCTTGACCCTCCAAGTCGTTGGGGTCCTTTCCGTATGCAACGGAGAAGTTTCCATCATCGATGTCAACCTCGTTCCAAGTAGCACTTGTCTCGGGAACGGGGAAGAACCACGTCAGAGCGAAGTACACAATACCGGAAACAAGGACACCGGTGAAGTAGTTGACATTGTAGACATACTCCGCGCCGATAGGGACCTTGCACCCAACGGCACCAGCGAAGCCAACGATGTTGATTAAAATCCCGCAGATGTAGGCGGTATAAGCGCGCCAGGAGAAACCGCCGGTGTAGTAGTAGCAGTCTGTTTTGCTGGCGCTGTAGAGAGATTTAATGTTTAAGTAGCCCTTGCGGACGATGTAGTAGTCGCAGATCATGACACCGGCGATGGCGGACAGGAAAAGAGAGTAAGCTGACAGGTATGTTGTGAAATTGTTTGAAGTTGAGAGAAGGTTCCACTGTGTAAGTTGTTAGCTTTGGCCATGGTTGTATGAGGGGGTTGAGATAAACAGATGGGACGACGTACCGGACACATGGCTAGACCAACGGCGGCGCAGATGTAACTACCTCGTCGGATGGTCATGTATCGTGGTAGCAGTGCAGTCATATCAGTGCCTGCGGAGATTGAGTTGGCGGAAATGTTTGTTCCAAGCTGAGCCAAGGCAAATCCGGTGGCGATGACGAAAATACCGAAGCGCTGGCCGGAACTGGCTCCATCCAGGAATTTTCCAAGGAGATCCAGGGGGCTCCAGGTGTAGCCGTCGTTGAAGATCACCGATGAGGAGGAAGACACAATGATTCCAATGAAAGAAGTGATGCCAAAGCCAACGGGAATAGTCAACAGCTGGGACCAGAATGCATCCTTTGGCGTTTTCGCAAATCGTGAGAAATCAGGGTTGTTCATGATAAGAGCAGCGAAATTGCCGATGCACGACATGATTCCTTTCACCATCGCCCAAGAAAAATCGCCTCCGTGGACGGTGTTGGACTGGTGGATAATCGGACCGAGACCGTGGGCACGCGAGATGGCCCAGGCAAAGAAAGCGATGGCAGCAATCGGAGAATAAATCGCCTTGGCAGTGAACAAGTGACGGACTTTGTGAACGGGGAACCACAAGGCTGGAAGCGAGAGCAACCAGAATAAGAAGAAGCTGACGAAGTTCTTGGTATCAATGCCGGCACTGTCAGAAAGACCATTGTGAAGATTCCGGTAGCTCGGCCAAATAGCCTCGATCATCAAAGTCACACACTGGCCTATTGTTGTATGAGTAGGCAGGTTTTGCCGGATCGGAAGGATACACACCTCCAATATAACTTTGTACGCCGTACCAAATGATAGCCATCACCACTCGGTTGAGAACAGGCCATAAAGAGCCCCATATTCCGAAAGAAGCTCGAACTGTGACGGGGAAAGAGATATGATAGACAGCGCCAATTCGTCCAGTCAGGCACACGAAACCTGCGGCCACAAAGTAGCCAACCCAGACACAGATCCAGGACTGCCACCAAGAAAGACCATCGACGATCATTGATGAGGAGATCATCCATGTGTTCTACATCTTATGTTAAATGCTTCTGGGCTTTTCCGCGGCACGGTTTGGAGACACTAACAATATTCAACGAGTCTGCAATCCAGAACGCAATAAAGTTGATCCATCTCCATTGGCGTCGTTCCGGGTCAACTGTAGTGCGGTTGTCGTTGATCAGTCTTTGCTTTTTTTGGTCCATAATGAGAGTGATAAACAAGGGAAGGAGTTGAGATCCTATATGCCTGAATAGCCTCACCTGGTTGTAAATCATTGTTGGTCAACATCATCTGGGCATTGGTGAGTCCTGGCTCGTTCTCTACGGCCGCCTTGTCAAGTATCCATTGAAGCTTGGACATCTTGGCGAGTAAACGCGTAGAATTGTAGTTGCTGATAGTTGCGAGCAGACCAATGGAACGTCCAAGCAAAGCGGTTAGGCAACACCAAGGTGAGGAAGTTGAACTAAGAATAAAATCATGGTATAGAGAGTACAAAAATGGGGGATAAGATTATCAATATATCCTTGCCCACCCAGGATGAGTCCTCTTTTCTTTCCCGAGTGCGATAAGAAAGGAGTAGGATGCAGGTTTACAGTCTTGGAGGCATCCATGATGGCTCAGGCCATCATGGGCCTATCATAGCCATCTGCAGGCAGTGGCCGAATGAGCTCAAGTAAGAATTCTCGTTATCTCCAGGAACTGGCGTCAGAATCCGCAATCTTGCAACGTTAGCTCCGCTCGCCTGCACATGTTGAATGTGAGCGTGAATTGTGATTGGCTGCCCGTAATCTATGCTTTGATATGGAGAAAAGCTGGAGATAGACAAGGGAGATCTTGGCGTTGACTCGATGAGATCGAGTAATAAGGATAGGGTCACGTGTTGTAAACGGGAACAGACCCTTGGCTGCTCCTATGTTGTATAGATCAAGGCAGTTACTGAGATTCAATTTCGGTAGATGCAATTACCTGAAATCCAACTATTCTGACTGCAACGCTACCTAGATCTATAAATACCAGGAGACGCGTGGACAGATGATGTTGTCTCACCCTTCATACGGAGGATTGAGAACCGCTTGGTAAAATGAAGTGCAGTGATTTTCTCTGCCGCTTAGTAGCATTTAATGGTAGTGCCAAAAGACAGAAACGCTGGTACAAATAAGCTTATTTACTACTATTAAAAGTCGTGGGATTATTCACTCTCCACAACCTACTAATACACAAACTCCACGGTTACAGTGATAGGTAGACAAGCGCCAAGAATAGTGGAATGATCTTGTTCTTGGGAAAGGATTGTTGGAATAAAGGATGCATGATGTAAAAGAAGCTACCGATAGTTCATACACTCCGCGCGAGTACCACATGGACATTAAAGACGCCAGAGGCGAATGTGCAAGAGTACAAAATTGAATTGACAGATCAACTATGAGAGCCTCCTGAAAATGAAAAATCCCAAGTCCCTATGCTATGATGATAGACGACAAGATGGACGAGAAGAGTCGTCCCAGTGAACCTGTCACTTGTGTAATCCCTGATATGATGGACTCCCTCAAATGCAATGATGATGAATGACAGAACCGAGTTCCCGAAAGATCCTAGGAGGACACATACCGCAATAAAAGAGATAAGACGAAAATTAAAGACGTACATGAGACCAAACAAATATGATGAAAACAGGGGGAAGAACGGTGGGATGGAACAAAGCCCAAACAAACACATCTCCCAGTGGAATACATAGCCGGATGATCAATTTCCGGATTTGTCGCAGACAAATGACAGGAATAGAACGATGAACAAGATAATACCCATGGTAAATGGCAAAAATAAAACTTGAAGCAACTTGGGGGGTATCGCTGTGTCGGAAATGGATGGCAATGGTGTAATAAACAAAACGTCCGACGGTGGAGAAATGCACAGATGAGAGCAAAGAGTGGGATATGATGCAGGAAAGAGACAAACGCCGGGACCTTGGTTGATGCTGACATTGATAGGGAAAAGATTCCAGATTGGGAGAGAGATGATATGAAAAGCCAGCACAAAGCGGCAGTGGTAGTTGTAGAGATGGGGGGACATGAGATGTGGCTCTCATTACACGAATGATGAACTCGACGTTGTTGTTGACACGGTGGGTGTGAGGTTAGGAGAGCCTTCCTTGTCCTCAAGACTTGGAGAATCACTGCGATCATGCGCCTGATCCCTTTCGCGCTCAGCTGACGAGGAGCGCTTGAAGACAGTCTGGCCAATTTGGCGCAGAATACCCATACGCTCGGCGCGGAGCTCTTCGAGGTCCAGACGCTGAACAGAAACAGGCTCTTGCTTTGAGATCTTGCAAAAGAGAGTAGAAAACAAATACTGGTCGCCGCTGGCATCGTAGAGAGGCAAATAACGGTAGCCCTGCGAAAGACTGGTGAGCTTGGCGGTGAAAGTAGCTAGCTGTACGCTGCTGCCTGTACTGCGACCGTCCATTGAACTCCAGACAGTCCATCGCACAAACACAAGATCGGGGTATTTAGTTTCTAGAGACAGCTTAAATTTGTCATTGAAAACGGGGCTGTAGCCATTGCTTTGCTCGATCTTGGTGCGGCGACGGTGCGGACATCCTATGCCAGACACGCCGTTGCGCGCAGAGGCATTCATACCACCTTCGCCGAGGACAAAGCTCTGGCCACGATCGTCAGCGCTAAACATCTCGATCTCGACATAAGGGTTGATGCTGTCGTCCTGTCCGATGGTGCGTGGACGGGGGAGCTGTTGCGCGGAGATGACGTCAACTGAGAACCGAACCAGTTTGCGCTCCATCTTGCGCTTCTGATTTCCATCTCCAACAGCCGGTAAACGAAGGCTTTCGGGCTTTAGGATATAACCGGTACGATCAGTTCCAGCGGCAAACATAGCCTGATTCATCTGCATTCCGATGTCGTAAGTTTGCCAGTTGAGCGCTACCATCTGCACACCACGGCGCCAGAACTTGTTAGGATCAAAGTTGGAAGAACGAAGTCGGAAGCCGGAGGGATACACCCGCGTGAGGTACTTGCGGTTGTGCGATTCAAGTGCAACTTTGTTGTCGTGGCTCTGACAGATGCTCTCGAAAGACCGTTCGGCAAACGAGTATATGTGGTTATATCGTCTGCTCTCTGGGGATGAGAAGCTGTGCCACTTGTAGCCACGAGTGTAGACACCCAAGTCAGAAAGAGGCTTAGTGATCTTGCTTTTCTGGCATCGCTTTTTCTTTGTGTCGGTATGAACAGACACTAGCGCTGCATCACTGTCCTCTGTTGCACTGCTCATGCTCGTAGCAGTAAGCGAACGCCCATCTTGCAAGGTCAAAGGGCCGATGCTGTCGACGGGACCCATTGTGGGAGGACTCGAAAGTGAGGGAAGAGGCTGGGTGTTCATTTCAGGGAGCGTCGGTCGCACAAATGGCGTACTAGCACTGCGTTTGCGGCCGTGGGTACCAACAGAGCCGATGGCATTCTGGCGGGGATCAAACTGGGTCTCGTCACAAGTCTTGACTTTGACCAGAATACGACCCTTGAGCTCTTCGGGCGACGGAAGAACATGGCAGTTGGTCATCAAAGGCTCAAGGATAAGCCGCTCCTTGAATGTCTCCTTCATGATCTTGACCATTGCCAGTTGCTGTTCCGGGTTGCAGTGCACCTCTAGAGAAAGAATGAGAGGGAAGTCACAAGTGATGAATGCGTATCGATTGATGACGGTGATGCAATCCGCAAAGAGGACACTGGTGGTTAGAGTCCGCCCGTGAGACACGATGGGGCGTCCATCTGCGCCATCCCAGCAGTCGATCTCGACACATCGACACCCCTGTTGCAGCGCGCTAACATAAGCCTCGGTGCTTGATGCACCAGCCACTTGGCGGCCCAGGAGGTAAGTGTTGTGAGAGCTCGAGATGAAGTATTCATTCAACGGCCGGTCGAAGCTTGACTGGGGAGCACGTGAAGCGTAGACTCCATTGCTGGATGAAGACAAGAACACGGTAAATGCATCCAGGTTCATCCGCGACACAGGTGGAGGAAGCTCCGATCCTTCTGCAGACAGACTGCGAGATTTAGAGGCTCGCCGAACGTACTTGTCAAAAAGTGTAGCCCAGTAGACTCGGTCAGATTCGACATCTTCATTTTGCACATCAGAAAGGAAAGCCAAAAACTCTTCCCGAGTCATGCCTTCCTTTGAGTCTGCGGCGTGAAGCTTGAAAATGTCTTTGACATCCTTTCGTTCCTTTAAACGCAATAGGAAGTCCTTGAATTCGGAAAAATGCAACTTCCCGTTACAAGCAGCATCAGCTTTGGTGAACTGTGCCCGAAGCATGTTCTTGGAACAGTTAATATGCAAACTGCGGCAGACCTTCTCCACGGCGGCGAGATCAAGACTTTGTTCCTCTACCGGAGGAGGACCCTGCGGGAAGAGTCTCGACATCTCGCGTTGCCAGTGTGCTTGTAGAACTGCTTCGCTTTGACTCGAACCTGCCAGACCAGACATGAGGTCGATTCTGTAACGAGAGATATGCTCAAGGGTAGTAATCCATAGGTCAAGAACTCGGTCGCTAGGAGCGATGAGGTGCAACGTTTTGACTGTTCGGCCCTTAGAACGGTCAGAATCTGCAATGACAATGGTGAACCATCGGCGCTCCAAATCTTCAGGTATCTGATGTTCCTCGCGGTAGTTGCGAGCGTCAGCACCGACTCGGATTTCTTTAATATCATCGATATAGAAGCGTTTGGCCGGGTTGGAGACATCCCAGAAGACCTTCGCGGCATCTAGATCTAGGAAGAAGCGAACTTGCTTCCTGCGTTTCTTCGTTACCTTGGTTAAGACTGTGCCTCGCTGGACAGCAGAGTCTACCTTGGGTGCAACGGCAACTACGGGTATGGGACCAGTTTCGCGAGCCATGTTTATGCGACTCTCGATGCGAAGACTGGATGCTTCCGAGCCACCCCATGCGCCCAGGTTGTCCAAGGCTTTGCCGGCTTCATCCTCGTTGCTCGAATCAAGCGCGCAGTCTCGAACAGGTTGAGTGCCAGTTTTGCTATCACTGCGCCTACGCCTGATGATGGGGCCAGTGCTTCGGTCCCGTTTCTCCTTTTGGGTCGTAGACTGCCTCCGGCGCGTGAGTTTGTTGGCAGCGCCTCTTGAGATTCGTCGCATTAGGCCCGGCGCCTTCGTGGAAGCAGCAGGGTCACTGAAGCTGGAGGTATTTGCGTTTCCGGGAACGGCCATCATGGACTCGCCAAGTTCGAAGGGGCCTGGCACAGGGAGAGAAAGACCATTCACACGGCCAAAGGTTCCCTCGCTGGCAGATTGCAAGGGGGTGCCAGCAGATGTGAGATTATAGGGTGTGCCGGGAGCAGGGAAGGATGGGGTGGGAGTAGAGGTCGGAGAAGAAGCGAAAAAGGGTGCGAAAGAAGGGAGAGGGCCAGATGGCAAGGATGTGACAACATGATGTAAAGAAGTTGGTTGAGAGAGAGACGTCGCAAATATTAAGTCGGATTGGGTATCGGCATCCAGGGTCGGTGAGGTAGTCGCAGCATACGCCATAACTACTATCTATCAAGAAGGACAGCTCAGCTGTCGATAGGGAAAATCCCAGCCTGCGGTATATCGTGCCAACGTCCGAGTCACCTGGACTCGGAAATGGACGAATGGGTAACAGCTTATGGGACCGGCCTGCCGTCAAGGTTCGCAAGACTGCCGCCTGTCAGGAAGGAATATGCGATCCAAGCCAAAAGAGAAAGTAGAATATTCTGACACGGCAAGAAAATTATCGTTCAGCCACGTCCTCAGCAGAAGTCCACCGTTCATGAAATCTGCTGCATCTTGGCCTGGATTGGGTGTAATGCGGAGAGCTCTGCCGGAGAGCAGCTCACAGAAAGAAAAAAAAAAAGTCGCAACAAAAGAAGATTTGAGCGATTAGAAAAAAAAGTCTTAGGTAACAATTGCAAAGGGCACTGGCCCTGTGCAACGGCCAATCCACGAGGGATAATCTCAGCCTATGTTAACCACTTGGGACAGATGTCACAACTGAAATCAACCGAATGGTCTCCAGCCCCAAGGAAGCAGAACACGGGTTCTTGACTTGCTTCTTTCCGAGCCCGGTTGATTCTCTGTAGGTTCTTCCAATGTCACCAATGCTGTCCCTCTCTTATGCGTGTCGATCTGCCGGTGCGTGGGGGAAGCTGCTACTCTGCACCGAAGAAGGGGCGATTTGTAATATGGACCAATTGATCGTGGAATGACCGAGGGGATCGGGGTAGGCGGCGCGGAACCGGTTCGAGTTTGGTGGGCGTGCGCCAAAACGAGTCAAAGACCGAATGCAATGTTTATGCAGGTATCGTTACCAGAATTCAATAAAGAGCCCCAAGAACCGGCTTTGGGTACTTGCGGAAGTAGACAGTGGCAGATATTAAAAGGATGAAAGAGTCAACGATTGTCCTAGTCCGACAAGGGCGGCGCGCGATTGGGTGCGATAGGTGCGATAGGTGCGATAGGTGCGATAGGTGCGATAGGTGCGATAGGTGCGATTGGAGACTAGCTATGCGTCAGGCGAAGGGAGTACCCGTGCTAAAGTGCAGGGAGATTTTTCCCTGGCGCAACGAAGCTAGGGTAGGGGTAAGAGGATGTGATGAAAATCGGGAATTGCGACAGAGTTGCCAACGCAGTGAATGCAGGCGGTCGAAAGAGGAAAGGCAAGCAATCGGAGACTGGGCCGAGTTGGGGAGCTCGCTGATGTTGGATTGATTAGTGCCGTTTCGAGGATTACTGCGAGCTGATCCAGTTGCTGCACGGTTACGTGGTGGCCACTAAATCTGTATGCGAGAGCGGGCGGAAGTTCTGGATGATCATGCGACGAGAGGGAAAAGACCTGCGTTGTCCTTACCATATGAGTATAGAGTTTTCACTTTGGTTTCAAGGAGACAGGGGAGGCATTTGAAGAAGGGTTGAAGGGGGAAAAAGGGAAAATAATTAAATCAATGACCCAATTCCGCAAATTGAAGCTGCAGTGGATACTGGCTACTTACGATAGACGTAGCCCGCGGTATGGGAAATGGTGTACGGAGTACCAGATAGTTGTATCGTTCGGTAATGCTGTTAAAATACTGGTGACCGGTAACAAATCAAAGGAGACCGTAATTTTGATCTCGTTTTTCTTTTATGGTCTTTGCTTTTTCTGTTCAAAAGGTTTTAGAAATTGACAGGTCACGTCTAATTCACGCTGTGTCTGCATCTGTTGCAGTCAGAATGTGGACGTGAGAGAGTATACATGACTGGTTCGGGCAAAATGTTTTGAAGACTCACCAGTGTTAGAAATAAGCCACAACTAGTGTGAATAAGGCTGATTTATCAGGCGAGGGAAAAAAAAAGCAGCAACAAAGAATTCTCTAACATGGGGGGAATGGGAGGGCCTTTGGAATGATTAAATACTGCAAGGTGCAATTGCTCATTTCCTTCAGGCATGTCCCTACAATTAGGTACTATTTCAATGCCGAGCTGCTTGTCAAAATACAGAGAGCTGCCTACCATGAGATGACGATATGAAATGATTGCCGGACAGAATCCCGTTGCTCAGTATCATTGGATGATCCTTGGAATTCCTGGGGTATGTTATCGGCCAAACGGGGTCGATCTGTGTTTCAAGTGTGTTAGACGGAAGCCCCTAGAAGAGACGGGAATTACTACAATTTCTGTACAGGTCACCTAGGACAGACGCTTCTTGGATCTTTCACGGCGTGGAAAGGAGAATCTTCCCCTTTCTCCCTATTCAGTTCTCATCATTTGTAATACGAAATGCCGCGAGTAATTATGGATTACGGTGGATACGAGAACAGCAGTCTATGTCTTGTTTCATTCAGACTTCTACAGTCCGAGACACCGCCGGGCTCCAGTTCCCCCACATCGCAGCTTACTTGGTCAACTAGCCTAGTATTTTAATGACTGAGATTATTGCCCGTTAGACTGTTACACGTTAGACTGTTACACGTTAGACTGTTACACGTTAGACTGTTACACGTTAGACTGTTACACGTTAGACTGTTACACGTTAGACTGTTACACGTTAGACTGTTACACTCATTCTATACCTGTATTCCTTCCCGTGGTAATTCCCGCTTAGCACCGACAGGGCGGTCCGGGGAAGATATGCGGAGCCTTCGGATTCCTGCGTTTTGATCGCGAGATTCAATTAGACTTCCTTGTTCTCACTGTGTGATACACGGTCTTATCTAGTGTGTTTTCTTCCAAGGTTGTGTCTGTGTTCATTGTTGACCGGTCGGGCAACTATCTATGCCCAAGCCCCGAGACCAAAGGTGAGTCGATCACGACGCACAACATCATTTCCATTCACTCGACAGTTTGGTGGGGAGTTCATGGTAAGATAGCACAGTGTACACCGCAAATGTGCTATAAGGTCTGTGTATATAATTGTAAATGCGTCATAGGAAATGTTGAAATTATACTCCCTATATCATCCCTGAACCGGTGAGGCTTGATGTGGCAGTGAAAAATATTTTGGGCGGTGCAGAGGGTGTGGATTTTACCAAAAAAAAAAAAAACAGAAAAATTCCACATCGAGGAGTTTGAGGTATCTTTTTTTGTCACGAACACTCCGAAAAATTTAACATTCGGAAGGGGTTTAAAGGGGGTTTTGGTCTGTTTAGTCTAGTTGTCCCACCCTACGAGGCCCGCCCGCACTTCCCGCGATTTAGTATCCGGTTAATTGCTGTGTTCTCTGGATTTTGAGGGTGTTTTGGCTTAGTCTTAGCTTTTCCTCAGCTCGACTCGTACCTGTCCATCAAGGCACACACTGTACGATGCAGAGTGTCACCAGTCGCAATGCACAGGAACATATGCGGGGTTGGCAGGCCAGCCCCGCTGCCTTTGAAACTTGATGAGCTGGCGATGCCGTGCTTCACCATTTTCTTGATTATTTTGATTCACAATAATCTGCCGCCACAGCCGGGGAAAAGAAAAAAGAGGTCCCTCGCCCCTCATTAAGTCCATGCTCTCATACAACACAATCCTGCGCTCCTGCACGTCACCCGGGTGGGCTGTTAAATGAACTTAGCGTTGTCCTAGGACGAAAGTTAGCCTCTTTTGGTCTTAACAGCCGCATGAACCTAGCAACTCCTGATAAGGATCTAGTTCAGACCTCATGTGGTATTCCCCTCATGGCGGTTAGATGCTCGGATGCTTAGGAGCTCTGCGTACCTTGGCAACTATTGGGAACTTCCCTCTACTTGCGGTCTTTTGTGCGCCGCAACATCGTGAGGTGCGATGGACAGATGGTGCTATCCAGAAAGGGTAATCCACACACGTCATTTTAATTTTTTATTATTTTCGCATATGTTGAATTTCAATTGATGGTTCCTCTGATGTGGGCTGCAAATACCGTGCTTAAAAAAGAAATGACTCATATCTCCTAGCCGATACACAACTTCAAAACTGCACGTTTTAAGCCGGATTCAGCGCTGATGGTGTCTCCTATCCATCATCCGTGCGCTATCTACGTGATTTCGTGCAGGGCGGTTGTGGCGGGTTAGGAAATAGTACCCTCGGTTCCCAAGAGCGACATCACGAACACCAAAAAACACTCAAAAATTGCAGGGATTCAAAAAATCTTTAGTTTTTTGTTGTTGGATCATATAACTTCAAGCGTCACTTTATCAAAGATTATTAAAGAGATAGTTGACAGTAAAGTCCTGATCTACCCACAAATAGATATTGTAGTTGTAGAGAGGCACCCCCAATATCCCCCCAACCAGCAACGATGCAAAGACAAAGAGCGGTGGCTGAAGCAAGGATATGTGTGTTTGTAACAACCACTTTTTTTTCGATAACCATAAAACGATTATTCCTTGTCGGTCAAAACATCCTTACCGCTAATCAATTTGCCTCAGATGATCCATTACTCAAGTTGTTAACCAGTGAGCGATCTCCACCGGGATGGATAGGGGGGGTTGTGTATCGAATCTCATTTGCCCACATCGTGCTCCATGCTGGGTACATCTGTACATTGTGAGAAGAGCTCGTGCTATCATGCCACGCTTTCACAGATGTAGGTTCAGGCTCTGACGTACGATATGTAACTTGTAGTTTGATAACAGGATGAGTGGCAATTTAATAGGTTAAAACACAGTGGTTTCTCATGATCAGTTCTTAGAAATAATTGGATGCTCTGGACATCGTAATAATCTTGGCCTTGGCGGGGACAGGGCTGTCTCATTTGGAGCATTTCACCCAATCGATGTGTGATTTTCGGTCCTCATGGCTATTAGGGCAAAGACTAGGGTCAAATGATGGACTTGGTAGGACTTTGGTACATACTCCGTACATAGAATGCATGTCTTACATTTTTACTTCCAAGATTCTTAGGGTCTTCCGTTGGCTTTGGTGGGGAACTTGAGGTCCACTTGGCAGGACCGTTCTTGCACAACATACAACATACATTGATGTACCGATGTTAGTGTAACATATGACATGGAATGTTCTTCTCAATAATTCCAATGTTTTCTTCTGGAAGGCCAAAATTACTAGTACAGTCT